TATATGTATGATTGTTGAAATATAGTAGTATTTTTATATATTGAATTCATATACATAAAGAAATTTAATTTAAAATTATTAAGATTAAGATTAACATGTGTGGTTATTGACATGTATGGTTATTAGTTGATGTGATAATATACTTTGTCAAATTGAAATTCAAATTAGGTAATTAAATGATGGATGACTGTAGTTGGATAGATCGTCGTGTGGATGGTAGTGGTTTTGTTATTGATGAATTTAAAGAAGGGGTGCAATTTTTTGTGAGATTTGCATTTTCAAAATCGAAAGCAAAATCAGAGATTAAGTGTCCTTGTTTGAAATGTAAATGTAGAAAATGGGGGAATCCTGAGGTCGTCTCTGTGCATTTGTGTAAGCATGGGTTTATGAATAACTATTATACATGGTATGTTCATGGAGAGACATCTAGTAATACAATAAGAAACTTTGAAAGGGAATCCTCTACTATGGAGTTTGTTAGAAATGAGGTAGACGCATTATACCATGAAATGGTAGTTGATGCAATGGGTGCACAGTCTAAATACAATGACGGGCCAATAGCTGAGGAGCCAAATAGTAAGGCAAGAGAATTTTATGATCTCTTGCATGCTACAGAAGTCCATATAGGTGCTGGGGGATAGGATGTTACAATACTTTCATGGATGGCAGAAATGCTAAACATGAAAACTCTTTATAATATGAGTGCTGCTAATTGGGAAATGGCATTGTCATTGAGTCGAAAGTTGTTGAGTCTAGAGGACCAAGAAAAGGTGTCAAAGGATTTCTATAGTGCAAAAAAAATGATAAATGTGCTTGGACTTGGGTATAAGAAAATTGATATTTGTGTTAATGATTGCTTCTTGTACTATGATGAGTAAAGTAAGAATTTAACTGCTTGTCCAGTGTGTGGAGAATCTCGTTATGAGCCAAGGAATATGTCTTCTATAAGGCAGAAAGATGTTCCAAGGAAATCTTTGTGGTACCTTCCAATTACCCCAAGATTTCAGTGACTATACATGTCTAGAAAAACAGCAAAGCACATGACATGACATTTGAAATGCCGTGAGGATGCGGATGAAGTTATTCATCCTGCAGGTAGTGAGGCATGGAAACACTTTGATGAAACCCACCCAACATTTGCTGATGAACCTAGAAATGTTAGACTTGGCCTCTGTACAGATGGTTTCAATCCATTTGGTTGCTCTGCAATGCCTTACTTTTGTTGGCCTATTTTTCTTATAGTGTACAACCTTCCTCTTGAATTGTGTATGAAGTCAGAGCATATATTTCTTGCCATGATAATTGCTGGACCTAAAGTCCAAGAAAAAACATTGATGTCATGCTTAGGCCATTAATTGATGAACTTAAGGAATTGTGGACAAATGGGGTTGAAACTTATGATAGTTTTAGACAGCAGAATTTTATCATGAAAGCTGCATTGCTATGGACTATAAGTGATTTTCCAAGTTATGGCATGTTATCTGGATGGAGCACACATGGGAAGTTGTCATGCCCTTATTGCATGGAGAACACTAAGGCTTTTCAACTTCAATATGGGAAGAAGACATCATTTTTTGATTGTCATCGTCAATTTTACCTCCTAAACATCCATTTCGTAGAGATAAGAAGAATTTTTATCTCAATAGAGTTGAAAAAAGCCGTCCCCCCCAAGACTAGATGGTACTTTGATGGAAGAAAGGGTTAATCAGCTCCCTGACATAGTCTTTAGTCAGCCACTTCTTAAACATTCAATTGCAGGATTTGGTGTTTTTCATAATTGAGTGAAACGTAGTATATTTTGGGAATTGCCATACTGGAAGGATTTATTGATTCGTCATAACCTTCATGTCATGCATTGTAAGAAGAATTTTTTAGATAACATTAAAAATATTGTCATGGATGACAAGAGTTGTACGAAGGATAACACCAATGCTAGATTAGATTTACAACTGTATTGCAATAGATCTGAATTAGAATTGATACCTCAAGATGATGGAACACCTATAAAACCCAATGCTTCATATGTTCTTACTCGAGAGCAAGGAGCTCTTATCTGTCAGTGGTTGAAGGAATTGAGATTCCCAGATGGGTATGCATCCAACATAGCACGATGTGTTAACATGCAGGAACTTCGATTGTTTGGGATGAAAAGTCCTGATTGTCATGTATTCATGCAGCGTCTCTTGCCAATTGCTTTCCGCGATTTCCTCATAGATGAAGTTTGGGGTCCCTTAACTGAGATGAGTAACTTTTTTAGAGCTTTAACTGCTCCGATTATTTGAGTCAGTAACATGGAGATGTGGGAGGAAAAAATTGTTGAGACCATTTGCAAGTTAGAGAAAGTATTCCCGCAAGCATTCTTTGACTCGATGGAGCATTTGGCTATCCATCTACCATATGAGGCAAAAGTTGGAGGACCTATCCAATTTCATTAGATGTATCCTTTTGAAAGGTATATTTCTTCTAATATATCTTTACATCACAATAACATTCATGAGCATATTTAATAATTTAATGTTATTAATTAATTTTCTTATTTGTTTAACAGAAAAATGCATGACCTTAAGAAAACAATGTTGAACAAAAATCGTGTTGAAGCTTTAATTTGCGAGTCTAATATTCTTTCAGAAATTTCCTTCTTTTGCTCGCATTATTTTGGATCTAACATAGAGACAAGATTGAATTGTCAACCAAGAAACATTGTTGGCGTGAATGATGATATGGATAATTGTTTGTCTGTCTTTAAACATTGAGGTCAACCATTAGGTGGAGAAATGCGTATGCGTGCATTGTCACCCAAAGAATTAAAGGCAGCAGAACTTTATGTTTTGCTTAATTGTGAAGAAGTTAATCCATGGATTGTATATGTTCTCTAGTTCTAGCTTTCATTTGTTTAAGTTACTAGTATGTTTAGATCTCAATCTACTCCAACTTCTTTATGTAGGCTTTTTGATTATCAAGTATGTTCCGGTCTATCAAAGGATCAAATTCAAATCAAATGGCAACTTGAATTTATTCCTTGGTTTAAGACAATGGTAAGTAATTTATTTTAATAATCTTTATTAGTAAGATCTCAATATTTATATATTTTAGGATTAAATATTAAATATTTTTATAACAAATATAGGTGCGTAGTGAAAGATATGAGGTTGATTCTCGCCTTTTGCCTTTAGTAACTGGCCCAGTCAATAACGTTAGGGTATACAATGGTTATTGGGTTAATGGATTTCAATTTCATACTATCGCATATGGACAAAATAAAAAAACCATAAATAGCGGTGTTTGTATGAAGGGAGCCACTTTCAATGATGAGTCAGATTATTATGGAAGTTTGAAGGAAATAATTGAGCTTCAGTATTTTGACTCATATGTTCATCAATCAGTGATTTTGTTCAAGTGTGAGTGGTATGATATCAATAAAGGCATTGTGGTCCATCCAACATCTGGTATAGTTGACATAAATCCTCGGTTTAAATTATAAACAGATGAACCATTTATATTGGCCAGTCAAGCTCAACAAGTGTTTTATGCCCGTTACCCATCTCAAAATCCTTGTAGAAAAGGGTGGTTTGTTGCATGTAAGATTAGAGCAAGAGCAATAATCGACACTTCATCGTTAAGTGAAGGTGGAAATGTTTATTATCAAGACGATGATCCTCCTATGCCACAATTGGTGCAACCCTCGATTATTTTAAATGATCATGTTTCACTAGCATCTTAAGGGGGAGAAAAAGTGGTGATTAGTGAGGTCATGCAATTGCTATATGTGACAGAGGAAGAATGTGTGGGTGAGGATGATGATGAAGAGGAAGAGTTTGAT